TGGGAGCCATCCCAGACCGCAGCAGCATGATGAAGGCCATGAGCTCACCGACGGCTCGCGCAGCTGACCCGCGACCGACATGAGCTACTCATCGCCATCAGGCTTCAGCGCCACCAGGCTCCAACCCACGGACGCGTAGCCGTCGAACTTCACCTCGAAGGCCGACCCGTCCAGGTGGGTCCCCCCTGGCGGCACGACCCCATCGTGCTGTCCACGCCTTCAGATGCTGCTAGACGGCGTGGGCCTGCTGAGGCCCGACAGGGCTGGCCACGGGCACCTCTCCAGCAGCAGCGCCACCTCCTGCATGTCCGATCTGGCTTGGCTCTCAGGGAGGAAACCGCAGCCGGCGTAGTCAGCACTTCCTTCCAGGCGTCACAGTCGCAATGCCTGTGCAGCAGCGTGCCCCTCGTCCCACATAGGAGACACGCGTCCGAGGCCACCATGCCTGTGTCCGCCTTCCTCGCCTGCGGCCACTGCCCGTTGGTGACCAGCGAAGCCACGTAGCCCTTCTCCTTCGCGGTGAGCCTCACCATCCTGCTGACTCTCTGCCCTGGCTCACTCTGCTCGCGCACGCTGCTGACGATGCCCGACGTCGTGAGCCGCACCAGTGTCTCAAGGACCCCGCCACTGGCTAGGTGCTCGCAGCCTGGCGCGGTGGCCACCTGCTTCCCCTGCCACTGCTCGATGGCCCTCAGCAGCAGCTTCTTGACGGCCCAGGGGGCGGTGTCGCAGGGCCTCAGGATCGACCCATCGTGGCACCTCCACCGCTCGTGGTCCATGACCTCTGCCTCTGTCATCAACCTCAACCTCTGCTGCGCCCCCTGCAGCCGCTGCCCTCTCACTGCTCTGCCTATCCTCTTGCCGCCGCTGAAGTTGACGCCCAGGTTCCGCTCCTGCTCGACATCGATCACGCCCAGCGGCCTCCTCAAGCGCTGCGCCACTGCTGCCCGCGCCTTCGGGTGATTTGCCAGGGCTCGCGACTTCTTCGTCGCGACCTGCAGGCCGGCCTCGTCCAGCAACGTCTTGAGCCTGAAGACTGCATCTTCGACCTCACGCACTGTCCTCACCAGGCTGCCTGTCCTCTTCACGATGATGTCGTCGACCACGACCGTGAGCCCCACTGTCGGATGCGCCATGCGGAGCCTGTCCAGCGGAGCCAAGAGCAGCATCTTGAGCATCAGCGTGGCGAATCCGTCCGTAAAACCGCTTGATCCACCTGAAGGTTGTCGCCCACGCCCACGCCGAGAGCCAACCGTCGGGGCGAGCGGTACAGGTCGATCTGCAGCTTCATCTGCCACAGCGGGAAGCCAGTCCTGACCGCTGCCTCGACGAGGTGGTGGTGACGTACTTGCTCGTACGCCTTCAGCAGGTCGAGCATCACGAGCACCGACACCCACGCTTCAGGGTCTCGCTGCTGGCGCCCTTTGGCCGTCGCTCACTCGCACTCCGCCGCATTCTGCCACACCGCCCTTTCACAGCCTCGGCGTCGGGCGGCCCGACAGGAGGACAGGAGGAGGAGGAGGAGAACAAGAATGAGGACAAGAAGGAGGAGGAGAAGGAGGAAGAGGAGGATGAGTAGGACTGAGGAGGAGGAGGAGGAGGAGGAGGAGGAGGAGGAGGAGGAGGAGGAGGAGGACGGGGAGGAGGAGGAGGAGGAGGAGGAGGAGGAGGAGGAGGAGGAGGGAGGAGGAGGAGGAGGAGGTGGAGGGGGAGGAGGAGGGGAGATCGTTGAGGAGACGCCCCGCGCCTCTCCCGCCCGGCAGGCCGGCGCGCACGGCGGCGCGGAGGGCCACCGCTGCCTGGCGGCCGCGCCCCTGGTGGCCAGTGTGGCCAGGAGCGCCCCGCCGCTCGGGTGGCAGCTTCGGTCCTGGAGATCCAGCGTATGAAGAAAAGCAATACGGAGGTTTTTCGCCCTTCTCGGCCCCTAGAGGCTCTCGCCGAGCCTCAGGACCGCCAAACACTGGCGCAGGATGGAAAGCCAGTCCCAGGGAAGGGGGACCTCAGGGGAACCCGCATTGAACAAATCACGACATCGGATCTCTGGGGTTCGAGGAAGAGAAAACGAGACAAGCATGAAGTCAACCCGCACAGCCAGGATGAGCACCTGTCCAAGGTTACCCTTGCATCCTTCGCCTTCGGCCCATCCTCGGCCGCTCTCGCTGGCCGCGCCCCGCTCGCAAAACGTCGCCATGGCCTTCCAATGCCCTTGCATCCTTGTCGTGCGTCCTGACTACATGGGTTGACAGTAAACTTTCGGAGGTCCGCGCGGATTTCTTGGATCGCCGCGGGACCCCCCTGCCTGGCGCGCGGAGCGCGCCAGGGGCGGCGCCAGTGATGCCGCCAGAGGAGTCCAGTGCCGATCCAAGAACTCCACGCGGAGCGCCAAATGTTTATGCCGACTTGGCTTTTTTTTTAGCTGTACGGTCCGCTGATCACCTCGGGTAATTATCGCCCCCCTCTCCTCTCCCAGATCACCCGACCTCGTCGGTGGCGCAGGCCCGGAGGGGGAACGCAGTATTGGGTGCGCACGCGCGGGCATGCGCGGAGCTGCCCAGAGCGAAAGGGTCAGGTTATCCGCCGGCCCCTCCCCCCCTTTGCCCCGGGGGTGGACAGACCTCCTACCCTGACACGTCGATTAAGGACTTGGCCGTTTTCGGCTCGCGAGAGGGCGTCGCGGCCGTCAGTTTTGCGGGTCCAGGTCCGTCGGTGTCGGTCCCAGGCCGTTTTCACTAAAGGTAGGTTTACTAAAGGGAGGTTTGTCCACCGCCGATTGCCCTCCATCGGATAACCCACTGGAAGGGGCCTCTCAAGCTTTCGTCAGGACTGCGCAGTGTCCATGAGAGCAAGGCGCAGCTGTGAGAACACAGGAGGGCGTGCAGGCACCCACGGAGCTCGGACATTCAGCAGTAAGGTGCGGACGACGCTGCAAAGCCCTAGGAAAGCCGAGCCTTGACAGCGCGAGCACCAAATCTGCAAGTGGCTGTCGCCGAAAAACAGCAACGATCTCCAGAGGAGGGGAACGTACCGATGCCGCTGCTCGACCCGGAGAGCAGCGGCACTGCTCGACCTGGATATTCTCCTCGAAGTTCTGGTCAGAGCGCACCCCGGGAGAGGGGCCGGGGAGCAGCGGTATTGGTACCTTCGCGTGTCCTCCGCCCCGGTCATGGCGCCAACATCGCAAAGCGGATTTCGTTCGCAAAACGAAAGGATGGGCCCAGTGTGTCCTGGAGAGTTTCGTTCCGGGTTTCGAGATGAAGTTCGTGCGAATTTGTTTTGGGCCAGGAATGAATTTTAAAAAACCCACGCGAAACGAACTTCGTTTTTCACTCGCCGTTACTGGTTTTGGCATGGACAGATATCCACGCAAAAACCCGTTGCAGCACGTCTGCAAGGTCAGTGCAGTGACCCTCCCTCGCAGGGGGCCTGCGCACGGTTAGGTTCGCGTCGTGTCGACCGGCGGCGTTCGTCGCCCCCCATGTTCAATGTTGAATGCCGCTTGCGACCGAGACTCGGTCGATGTTGAACGATTCTAGGCCTCCCAGATGGGGTCGGAGTAGATGAGGTCGAAGGATCGCGCCGCATCGCCGATGCATCGACGATGCAGATCGATGCGGAGCCCGACTTTCGCCACGCCGACGGCGCCAATGCATCGCGGGCATCGCCGGTGCATCGCCAATGCATCGCCGATGCATCGCCGATGCATCGGCGATGCAGCGATTCTTCAACCCCGTCTACTCTGGCCCCATCTAGGAGGCCTCTAGCGATTTGAACGATACCCGTGGTGTCAGGAACCACGGCCGCGGTCGGCACGACGCGACCCTGCCGTGCGTAATTGTCCAGACCCCCTCGGGCCATGCAAAAAGCACGGCGTCGCCGATGCATCGCCGGTGCATCGGCGTCGTGGCCGATGAATCGTCAATGCTTCCCCCCCTCCCACCCGGAGGGGGCCTGCTTTCAGTATTGTTCAACCGACTCCCATCCCCATCCCCATCCCCTTCGAGACCCCCCACCAAATTGCCCCCCCAGTTGGGGACACACCCCTCGAAACCCGAAGGGAAAGGCCTGTATCCCCATCCAGGGGGGTGCATCGGCCAGTGGGGCCCAGGCCACGCCGCTGGGGATGGGGATCGGATAAACGATAAGCGTTGGAAAGCTGGCATGCGATGCGACGCCGTTGGTCCGCTTCTTTCGCCCTATCCCCCACTTGCGGGAGAGCGCGCAGGGGGATAAAGCGCGCACAGAGGGGGCCATCGCGGCCCCTGGTGGCTGGCGTGGCCAGGACTGCCCCGCCTCGCTTTGGCCCTCTCCGGGGGGGGGGGGAATCCTGTTGAATCAGAGGAGCAAAAAATCATGGTAAATTGCCATGACCTTTTGCTCCTTGGAACGTGCTGTTACCGTAATGATACGTTTCAACATTTCAAGGTTCCCAGGGTTTCTCATATTTCCTGGACTGCTCCCCACAGGCTGCCAAAACGAGGGCCGAGGGAAATCCTGGAACATAGTATCCTGAGCCAGTCTTATCATGACGTCAGTCTCGCCTTGTTGGAGGTACCTCCCGTGACCTTCCACGAGGGCTAGAAAGTAGCACCAGGACCTTGGCGTGTAAATTCCTGTCGAGGTTGTAAGCAGTCCAGTTAGGTACATTGGTCTGGAGGGCTATTTTTACCGCCCCCGCCGGGAGGCAGCGGCGTGGCCCGTTGGCCATGGAGACCGCCCGATTGCCCTCAGTCCGCCCGGTTTCGGCTAGAAACACGGAGCTGTAGCTCCTGCGCACGGGGCTTTTTCGGGGGGGGCTCGGCGGCTGCAGCCGCGCAGAAAGCATTGAGTTGCAGCTCCAGCGGCTGCGACCTGCATCGGCCACATCCTCATCTATGCTATACATGAAAGTTTGTTACATGTCAGGAGTCGATGTTGCGCGTGTTAGCGTATGATTATTCGCAGAATGTAGTTCACGTTGAACATTGTGCTGTTTCGCTTAAATTCAAGATCCACGGCCAAAACCAACGCATGCTTAGCCAGGTTGAAACTTCGCTAGACGGTACTAAACCACTGTAACGCGTTGGCCTGCTTGGCTACAGCCCCACAGGGCTGAGCAGAGGGCCTGTTCGAGTAAGTGGAGCCGCGGAATGAACACATCATATCGGCGGATACCAGGCAGGGCCAGGGCGCTCCGAGGAAGGGGTCGGGATCTCGGGGGGCAGCGGATCGAACAATCCAGATTAGCGGACGTCCCAGGGCCAGGAGCGATAGCCGCGAGCGGCCGCGCATGCGCGCTTTGGGCCGCGCCCTGTGCGCAGGAGATGCAGCTCGCGCCGCCCGGCGCTGTCCAAGTCCGCGCTGCTCGCCATCTCAGAGATCTGCGAGGGGGCCCCCGCTGGAGGCACTCGGCGCTGACGCCCGCACCCGCGCCGCGCTCCCGCGGGAGGCTCCTCCCGCGGAGGCCCCCGAAGCTTACAGCAGCGAGCTAGGGCACCCGCTGGGGCCCGAAGATGATCACGTCTCCTGCGTCGAGGTCTGCGCCAGGGCAGGCTGCCCTCCTTGCCGTCCGACGGCGCGACGATGCGCGAAGATCGCCGCACCTCGCGGCCTCGCGGGCAGAGATGCGCGAAGCTCGGCAGCCTGAGAGGTTTTCGAGTTCCTTCGCCGCTCTCGGTCTCCCCGGGAAGGTGGTTTCCAGATACAGTCCCCGCGGCCCAGGGCGCGTTGCCCTCGCGACCAGCTTCCTTCAGGCATCCATACTATTTTCCCTGCCAGGAGATGGTTCCAAGATTGCCCCCGCAGAGTCTTCGGGATTCTGCCCTCGCTCGTTTTGTCTCGTTGATTCCCCTCTCCGCCTCGCTCCCCCGTTCAAGGCTGGCCCGGTTAGGGTCATCTGAGGACAGCCCTCCTAGGCCGCGGAGAACATACCCTTACCGACGTTACGGGTGCAATGCGGAAAACAGTTTCAGGGTTCCAGCATTGCATATTGCAAAGGTGGCTCACGAGACCCCAAAAGATCCTTCGACCCTTTCTCGGGTGGTCACTTAGCCACAGCTGTCCGTTCGCCTCCCTCTCTTTGTCAGCCAGGTTGGTGCAGAGTCCCTCTGCTACACATCTGTTGCGGATTCGTAGCGGACGGTCAACCGACACGGCGGCCCGTTTTTCTCATATCTCAAGCTTTCCTTGCGGAGGAGTGGAGGGAAATGAAAGCATTCTGCGGCATGAGTGAGGACTCTTGTGGTCTTTTGCGATCGGCTCCCGAGTCCTTCCAACACAATTGATTGCAACACATTGGGGGATTCTGGGGATCTAGTGGTCGCCTTGAAGCCTTCTGGGGACGATCTTGGGTCGTCGTTGGCGGATGTCGGGTCGTGTTCGGGCTGCTTCGAAGTTCTCTCGATGCAGTGTTGCGCCGTGGTGGGTACTTTTTTTTGAGTTTTCTGAAGCTTTCCCGAGGTGGTCTTGAGCCGAAGAGCTTCGGATGTATGATACGTTGAAGCCCTTTGCGCTATTCACTGTTTGCCTCTTGCGGCATGTCTCGGTAGAGCCTTATCTGTATGCATTTTGGGGTTCTCTTGGGGCCTCTTGAGGACTTACCAGAGTCTCTGGGGGATCGCTGGCTCTTGGGATCTTGAAGTTGCCTCGGAGCGGATCTGAGGCCTCTCGGAGGCATGTTGGACAACACGCATTACCCCGCAACAGCAGATAAGGCTACGAGGAGGGTTCTTCCCCTGGGGGGTGTCCGGGAGGAGGGGGTAGTAGTGGTTGTCCCCTTGTCCACAGGGGTCCTGATCTCCCCCTGTCCACAGAGGGACCACCCCCTGCCCCCCTTGACCACAGCGGGGGTCCCGGGTGACCTCCCGTGCGCCCCCACCAGGGGACCCCCCCCAGACACCCTCCCTTGATCCCCCCCTCCATCCCGGCAAGGGGAAGGGATCAAAGGGACGAGGCTCCTTTTGAGTCGACTGCGACGTTGTTCGATGTTCGTCTGGCTAGGGCGCTTGATGAGAAGGACCCAGGGAAAGGGGGAGAGTGGCGACGACAGCTCAAATGGAAAAGCGTCTCACACAAGCCGACAGACTCGGCATTCTTTATATGATAGTTTCTCTCGGGTAGATATGGGGGCGGCTCTTGAACCGATTGAAACCCTAGTCCTCACGCGTCGCGTATCCCTGCCAGCCTTTTTACTGTGCATGTGCATATGTTTCTTGCTTGCAGGCGCGTCTCAGCTTGCCATCCTGGCGGCTACGTTCGCCAATTCGCACTGTGCCGTTGCCCCGGACAATGCTCTTGCCGCCTGACCGTTGCCTGGTGGCCGCAATCAAACAAGTATGCCTGCCAGCCCATCCAAAACCAATCACCAGGCCAGTTGCCCCAATCATGGATGTGGGATGTGTAGCAGCATTCAGTCACGCTCTAGGAGCCTCCTGGAAGCAACGTGGGACTACCGTTGACCTTCTTGGAGCAGCGGCCTTGGGGGGCCCTCTTCTTGGGACCATTTTGGGGCCCCCCTGTTTTGTTTCAGGCCCTTTTGTGGGGTTGAAGGCCTCTTTGGGCCAGATTTGGGCCCATCGACCAAAAAAGTCTGAGACCGGGGCTATCCTGGGTCTTTCTGGGAGCTCCAGAACCTTTGGAGGGAGGGGTTGAGGGGGACGGTGGAGGTGGAGGGGGGGCATCGGGGAGGGGGGTGGAGAGGGGTACGGGGTGGGGGGATGGGGGGGGGGGGGGGAGTGGGTGGAGGTGGGGTTGAGGGGATGGGAGGTGGGAGTGGGTGGAGGTGGGGTGGTTGTGAGGTGGAGGGTAGGGTGGAGGGTGGGGTCGAGTGTGGTCCAGGACCCGGGGAGGGGCGGTATGGGGGAGAGGCACGCTTTTCTCCGAAGGGGAAGAAGGGGGTTCGGAGAGCTAATTCCCAAACGTGACGGGTGTGACTATCTTGGTTTGCCTTACGAACGCCCTGGGCGTTTTTGTGCGTTTTCGTCTTTGGGTTTTTGACAGGCTGAAGACGCAAAACACGCTACGTCTTGTTTCGCGTTTTGGGGGTTGTGTGTTTGTCGTGTGTGTTTTTTGTTTGCGTTTTCAGGCTGAACGCGCTCAAATAACGCTAAGAAGTAACGCACCATCTGTTTTGTTTTAGCGTTTTTGTGTTTGCTGAGACCAGGAAGCGCTGAATCATCATGATTTCAAGACGCCGAGCTGGAAACGTTTAAAAATGCCCTGGGCAGGTTTAAGGCGAACCAAGGTGACTAGGCAGTTATGGAGCATCCGAAATTTATATCATCGTGCGGGAATGGACACCGTAGCTGATGACGACGCGAGTTACGCGACTTGAAGGGCTCACCATCAAACAACATCGAGTACGATGGAATGGCTCCTTGAGCGTGGGGGGCGAACAGGGCGCTTCAAGCGCGCTCGTGTGCCAGCCCCAGGGGGCCGCGCTGCCAACTCAAGAAGGTTCCCACTGCCAATCCGCCGGGGGGGGCCAGCTGTCAGCCCGAGGGGGCCCCTGCCGCCAGTCCGAGGGGGGCCCCCCTGCCGACCCGCTGGGCGTCCACTGCCAATCCGCCGGGGGCGCAGCTGCTGACCCGAGGGGGCTGGCTGCCAACCCGAGGGGGGCCCCGCTGCCAAACCGCCAAGGCCCCCACTGCCAATCCACTACCAACTCCACGGCCAACCCACTGCCAATCCACTGCCAACGATCTGCTAACCCCACTGCCAACTCACTTCCACCACCACTTCCAACTCGCTGCCACTGCACTGCCAACCCACTGGGAACCCATTGCTGGCCCCACTGCCACCCTCGGGTTCGCAGTGGGCCCCCGTCAGGTTGGCAGTGGGGTTGGCAGTGGGGTTGGCAGTGGGGTGATGGGAACGAAGGAGGGGTTGGGGCAAACGAGGCCCTGGGAGCTACCAAGTGCGAGATGGGGGCGAACAAGATTTCCGTTGCAAGCCCCATTGCCAACCCCACTGCCACTCATGTGCCAACGCACTGCCAACCGCGCCACCCTCGCTCGGGTTGGCATTGGACCCCGTCGGGTTGCCAGTGGGCCTCCGGCGGGTTGGCAGCGGGGCCCCTCTCGGGTTGGCGGTGCACCAGGGCGGTTGGTGAGGGCCCCAGCGGGTCGGCAGTGGGCCCCTGTCGGGTTGTCAGCGGGGAGCGGGGCGGTTGGCAGTGGAGGCCCCGGCGCGTTGGCAGTGGCCGTTTGGGATCAACAATGGGGAGTGCAGCGCTCGCCCCGCGCCCCAGCCCTGAGCGTGCCTGATCAGGCCAGAAGGGACGACGATGCCCCCCTTCCTTCCCCCGCCTGGTGGGGCAGATGGACTTGGGGGCCCGGGTGGCGTGGTTGCCAAAGCGACGCTCGGCGGGGGGACCCATATCCACTGGAAGAGATGTAAGGGCGGCAGAGGCGCTTCTTGTGGCTTCTTGGAAGAGGCGGCAGCCTTTGCGTTGGCCAGCCCTCCTCCCTGAGCCCGCCAAGCGGAAGGGTTTCGCGGACATGTCTTGCTTAGTCGGTGCTACTTCCCGTGTACAAAGAAAGTAGAGGAGCCTGGAGGATTGAAATTAGGAGGCTAGTTCTATAGCCCGCAAGAGGGTACGCATGGCGGTCATATTATACATTGACTAGTTTATGCTGAAGGCTGCAAGTTTGCCGTGCTTCGCGCGGGGATGTCCGTCTAACCAGCTACAGGATATTAGTTGCCGTATCCATTCATATTGCAGGTGAGCTGTTACATGGCAGCCATTCGTGAAAATGTTGGGTCACTTGTGTGATGTATAAAAGGGTGCGTCCGTTGCTGCTCCTATTTCCGAGGCAGTAGCAGAACATGTACATGCGCGATGTGTCACTTAGCCTCTGAATCGTTACGGTGTGTCGTTTGCCGAATTTGAGCCGGACCAATTCATGTCTTATTGATGGTTTGTCCGGATTTCGGGCGCGGGGCTTGGTCAGAGCACCGCTGCACAGGCGATTGGGGCAGCGCTCTGGAAGAGGGCCTAGCAGGCTGCGCAGCGGCCCTGCGAAGCGGCACGAAGGTCGGGGTTGCAACATTTGACTTGCGTCCGTGGAGAGCGGGGGAAGAGGACGATCATACTTCTTGGGTCTTGTCGATGTGTGGGTGCGTTTGTGGACATGCATGTGATGATGCGCATGCCCGTTCTCATCTCCCCTCCTCCATCCTTGATCCGTATCTCCGTCTCCCCTCCCCAATTCTCTCCGTCTCATCCGTCTCACCGTATGAGTGTTAGAATATCGTTCATTGTCTCCCTCTCTCTCTCTTTCTATTTCTCTCTCTCCCTCTCTCTCTGTCTTTATTTCTCTCTCTCTCTCTTTCCTTCGTTGCATCTCATCATAAGTGTTGAATATCAGCTATATACATATATACATGTATATATATATATATATATATATATATATATATATATATTCAGTGTGTTTTATGTTTTTACATGTTGTAAATATATGAGCTCGATAAACATAGTAGTATCCCCCTCTTTCTCTCCTCCCATCTTACCCTCACGTCTCCGCACTTCTGCACGTCTGGCCAGAACGCATTCCCGTCCTCCCCCATGCTGCCACTTCCCGCTGCGCGCCGATCCAAGAAATCCGCGCGGACCTCCGACCTGTTATGTTTATTGTGTAATTGCTTGTTCCTCTGCTGGCACCTGGGGGCTGAAGCCAGAGAGGCGAAGACCTTCCCAGTCCTGGTCCAGGCAGGCTTAAGGGCATTACGACCTCCGGTCCCAGCGACAAGCTCTCCCGAGCCAGAGCAGCTTGAGCCATCGGTCTGATCCGAATGGCTACCGACACATAAGACAACAGAAGCGCGCACACTTGTTTTCACCGTCCGAGAGGAGGTCAGTGACGAGAAAGGGTTGCACGGCGTTGCCGCCCAGTGCAGCCTTATTGCCGCCTTGTTGCCGCCTCGCGCGCTGGGTAGATCCGGCGATGGATTCGCCACGTTGCCGCCCGTTACCGCCTCGCTGCCGCTTCGTGCGCTGGTAGTAGGGTCTGGCCAGGGTTTCGCCACGTTGCCGCCCAGTGCCTCCTCGTTGCTGCTTCACGCGCTGGACAAAGGCTTCGTCATGTTGTCGCCCGTTACCGACTCGTTGCTGCCTCACGTGCTGGGTCAGGCTGGCGAGGTTCCGCCACGTTGCCGCCCGTTATTGCCTCGTTGCCACCTCGTGCGCTAGGTGGTTTGGCAAGGGCCTTGGCACGTTGCCGCCCTTGGCCTCCTTGTTGCCGCTTCGTGCGCTGGGTTGGTCCGGCGAGTTTTCGCCACGTTGTTGGCCGTTGCCGCCTCGTTGCCACCTCGCGCGCTAGGTGGGTAAGGCCTGTTCTCGCCACGTTGCTGCTCGTTGCCGCATCGCTGCCGCCTCGTTGCCGCCTTGTGCGCTGGATAGAGCTCTGGCGAGAAATTCGCCACGTTGCTGGCAGTTGCCGCCTCGTTGCCGCCTCGCGCGCTGGGTGGCCCCCGCAAGGGTTTCGCCACGTTGCCGCCCGTTGCCGTGAGGGTTTCGCCTCGTTGCTGGCCGTTGTCTCCTCGTTGCTGCCTCACGCGCTGGGTAGATCCCTCGATGGATTCGCCACGTTGCTGCCCGTTGCCGCCACGTTGCCGCCTCGTGCGCTGGGTGGTTTGGTGAGGGTCTTGCCACGTTCCCGCCTTTTTGCCGCCTTGTTGCCGCCTCGTGCGCTGGGTTGGTCCGGCGTGTTTTCGCCACGTTGCCGCTCGTTGCCGCCTCGCTGCCGCCTCGTTGCCGCCCTGTGCGCTGGGTGGGGCTCTGGCGAGGGCTTCGCCACGTTGAACGCCGTTGCCGCCTCGTTGCCGCCTCGCGCGCTGAGTGGATCCGGCGAGGTTTTGCCACGTTGCCGCTCTGGGCGGGTCCAGCGAGGGTCTTGCCACGTTGCCGCCCGTTGCCGCTTCTTCTTGCCGCCTCCAGGGGGTTCAACACTGACTGGCGTTCCTCTAGCCTGTCGAGGCACAGGATCACACGGTGCACGGAGATGCAGAGCAGATTCAGTGCGATTCGATTCGCAGGTTGGTGCCGCGATTCCGACTCGATTCGGTTCGATTCGTTGGCGTCGATTGAGGCGGGCCAGAGCCGGTCGCGGCGGGTTCTGCTTTTGATTTGATTCGGGACATTTCGCTGGCGATTCGATCCGTTTCTGATCCGACCCCATTTTGCCAATAGATCCAGCCCAGGCCTGCCCTTCTCCTCCACGAGTTGACGATGGCCAAGATGGACCATGACCAAGATCGGCATCGACGTTTCCGTGCTCAGTCTTGGTCATGGTCATCGTTTCTCCTTTCACTATCTTCTGTCGTCTCGATGGTTGCCGACACCGACGTGTGCGCGTTCAGTCTTGGGCGTGGTCAGCGTTTCCGCTCCCGCCTTCCAGTCCTCGTCCTCCCCCGTGGCCCAGGGGAGCTCGGGGGGGAGCCCGCAGCAGCCCCCAGCGATGTGCTGCCAACCACACCTGCAGGGTGGACCCTCCACCTCTCCTTCCGTGCACTTCGGCTCCGGCCTCGGCCTCGGCCGCGGGTGCACTGCCCTGCGCCCGCGGGCCAGCTCCCCCGAGGCCGCTTCCCGCTCAGAGTGGGGCTGGGTATCGTTCAGCCAATCCCCATCCCCATCCCCCACCCCCTTCGAGACCCCCACCAGATCACCACCCCAGTGGGGGATACGCCCCTCGAAACCCGAAGGCAACGGCCCACATCCACATCTAGAGGGGGGGTAGATCGACCCGTGGGGCCCAGGCCACGCCGCTGGGGATGGGCGTCGGTTCAACGACACTCCGGGATGGCCCCTGGCACCGCAGAGGGAGCCCTGGGCCCTCGGCGCCCAGCCGGGGGACTCGCCCAGCCCCCGCCAGGTCACCGCGCGCCTCGCGGAGGCGGCGCTGGCGGCCGCGGTGCGCCGCCACGCGGCCGAGGCCGCCGCCCCGCCCGCGCCGAGCTGCGCGTCCCGAGGCTGTCGAGGGTCGGTTGCCGCGAGGGGAGGGGGGGGTCCCGGCCTGACGTCCTCGCGTCGTGGGAGAAGCTTGGAGTCGGGCACGTCTCTCTACAGGAAGAACAATTCAGAAACGACCCAAAAAATAGGCCGGGGACGGGTTTTTGATTCTTCTTCTGACCAGTTCGGGAATATGTTTGGGTACTTTCCGGTCTTCGGCCAGAATCCCCCCGTCGGGGGACATGCCTGATCCAAGAGAAGCTCTACGGAAGGCTGCCAGCTGTTTTCGGCCTCCCGGGACCCGCACCATGCTCCGGGACCGTCAAGAGCAGCGCAGGTCCCGGCCTCCAGGGCCCAGGCCCTCCAACATTTCCCAGGATGCCCCGATGATTGTCCAAGATTTTCTAAGATTCCCTAAGATTTTCCAAGATGTCCCAGGAGGTCCTCCAAGATTTCCCAAGATTTCCCAGGATTTCCCAGGATTTCCCAGGATGCCATGGGCTCCATCAACGAGGGCCGCCGGGCACTCATCCTGAGCCAGTCGCACCATGACATCACCTCCGGTCCGGAGTTGCTTTCGTCAAGGCTGTTGAGGCTCGGTCGTCGCGAGGGGAAGGGGTCGTGGACTGGTCGCGCAGCTGGCCGGTGGCTGGAGGACTTCCCCCTTTCCTTGCTTCAGCCTCTCTCTTTCCCCAACCGGACAGGTCGGGGTCGAGAGGGAGCTCCCGACCGGCCTCGCACGCGCTGCACACCGCGGCCGCCAGGCCCCAAGGACCTCAGTGATCCCTGGGTATCCCGCCCTCGCGTCTTCGACGAGTACCCATGCATGCCGCTGGCGCAAGGCCCCCAAGGGCCCGGGGCTCCCGATCCCGCGTTCTCGGGTGGGGATCGTTCGGAGCAAAAGAATATGAACGCCTAGGCTGAGTTTGCCTGGGACAGCCCACAAAAGGCACGAATCGGTACCAGACGCCCACCACGCCTTCCAGGTGGCCCACAACGGTCCCAAGGCCTTCCTCGAACACTTCCAGACAACCCACAACGCCCCCCAAACCGTTCCAAGAGGGTTCCAAGGCGTCCCCGAGGAGGGCCCCCATAGCCAACCATCTTTGATTGTTCATCCGTTTTTGATTGCTTTGAGTGTGTCTGCTTTGTCCCCTTGCCGACGCTCCAAGACAGCTCACCAAACACAACAACTCACCCCAAGACCGAATAAGAGGCCCCCAAGGGCCCAAGGGGGCGCCGAGACTGCCCAAGAGATGTCCAGGACAGCCGGCAAAGGCCCCGAGTCGCCAGACAATAGTTCCCAGCCGCTCACGACGGCGCCCACGTGGCCCACACCGCCCCCAAGGCGCTTTTCGACGGCTTACAGACGGCCCACAACTCTCCCGAACGCTTCCAGACGATTCCCGAACGCCCCCCAATAGGGCCCCACGAAGCAACATCCACTGCCATTTCGTCGATTCTCACAGCTCTTCGGATTTCCGCCTTTTCGGCCCGCCGACGCTCCAAATCAGCCCCAGGAGCACCAAACACTCGCGCCGAACTTGTTTTAGAGGCCCCCCAAAAGGGCGCCCACACTGCCCAGGAGGCCTCACAGGCGCCCCAGGAGTCGACACCTCCAGGGCAGCCTGAAGAGTCACCGAATCGTTTAAATCCCGCAAACTCACCCCGACGCTCCACAACAGCCCCAGATATGCCCCAGAGCTCGCCCCACACATGGCCTCAGAAGCCCCCAGGAAGTCGCCGGGAGGGCCCATTACACCTCCGGGGTGGCCCAAGAGGCCTCATGGCACAAGAGGGCCCCAAGAACTCTCTCAGGGGGTCCCGAAAAGGGAAACGGAAACCGAAACATCAAGTTTTCCGTCCTGACGAGCTTTCATACAGCGCAAGCGGGCCATAAAAGAGGCCCCCGAGAGGTCCCAAGGGGCTCGCAAGAGGCGCCCCAGTTGGGCCCACGACGCCGATCATGCCCCCCAGAGCATAGAGTCAGAAGGGTGGGGGGACGACGGCAGGGGACGTATATGCATTTGAATGTTTGTCGATGGCAGAGGGGTAATATAATCACTGGAACCTGA